TCTCCCTTCAGGTCCTTCTGGCCTTGGCAGCTCCACCAGCCCCCATGCATGCCCCTGCTCTGTGTTTCCAGAGTGTGACTGCTACCCACATGCCTCAAGTGTCCTTCAATCATGTTTCCAGGGCCCAGGCTGTAAGGTCTGCTGGCTTGACCTGGAATCACAGCACCTCCACTAAGGAGCTGTGGGGCTTTGGGCAAGTCCCTGAACCTTCCCATGCCTGGTGTCCTCATCTGGAGCAGAGGAGTCATAACTGTGCCCATGTCCCCCCAAGGCTCCTCTGAGGACTCACAAAGAGAGGTGCAGGCCCAGTTGCTCAACCCACTGCCTGGTGGATAGTCAATGTTCAGAGATGGAAGTTCTTAAGCAGGGACTCACTCTTCTCAGGACCCAAACCTTCAGCACCTTTTGGGTGTATGGCTGGTGGTTGCAGGGTTATTAATGCCAGGTCTGCTGTCCCTTGTTTGGCTAGGTGGGATCATGGCTCTCAGACTGCCATGCAGAACTGGAAGCAAGGTGTGGGGGTGTTATGGGAGACATTGCCACAAGCAGTGCCACAGAAAGCCAGGCATGGAGGGCATGCAGCACAGGAATGAGCCTTTGCATATCCCAGGTGGGCATGTGTTAGGACACCTGGATCTGGGCTCAGGGAGATTAGGGTCCAGTCTTAAGCAGCACAACCTGCCTTGGAACAGGGCCACAGGCCCCAAAGGTACTCAGTGGTAATCTGGGCAGGCTGTCAGCCCTGCTGGAAAGAAATCTGCCCAGCCACATCCTGGAATAAGAAAGTGATCTGCTTAGGGGGCTGATCTTCCCTCTTTGTGATGGAGATCATGGCTTCCAAGAGGTGCTAAGGAGATAGGGACCTAAGGCTTTCTAGTGTGAGAATGGGAGCCAGGAGTTTGAGCCCAGTTGGAGAGCTGGGGAAGGAGCAGGACAGCCAGAGGTACAGGAGGCTAAAGTGTTCAAGGCAACGCCCTGGTCAGTGTGACTCAGTTGGTTGGACATCATCTCATGCACCAAAGTGTCGTGGATTCGATTCCCTGTCAGGACACATACCCAGGTTTCAGGTTTGATCTGAGTTCATTCCCCAGTCAGGGTGTGTACAGGAGGCAATCGATCGATGTTTCTCTCTCGCATAGATATTTCTCTGTCTCTCTTTCCCTCTCCCTCTTCTCTCTCTAAAATCAATAAAAACATACCCCCCAGTGAGGATTTTAATAATAATAATAATAATAATAATAATAATAATAATAAAGTGTTCAAGCGAAGAACTCCCATGTGCAGGGACAGCTGCTCAAGATGCAGGCCCTGCTCCAGGCTCCAGGAGAAGGTGGTGAGGTCTAGAGGAGAATGGTGGTCTTGAGAAGGGGCCGCCAAATAACAGCTTTGGGCTTTGGGCTTTGGGTGGGGAAATCTTTGGAGAGCAGAGCAGGTATGGCCCTCATGACCTCCTTCCCAACACCCTCACTGCAACTCCCCTTTGACTGCCTGTGTGTCTAGCACTTCCGGGGGCCCCTTTATCCCTGCAGCCCCACTATCCTCAGCTCTCACCACAGGGCCCAAATTTCCCCAGACGCATGGTTCTTGCAGACACATTGGGCAGTTGCAGGTCCAGGCCTCAGAGCCCTGGCTCATCAGCTGCTCTGGAGACTGTACCTTTCATCTGTACTGTGGAGGTGGTCAGAGACTCTGTCCCTTCAGAATAACTGGAGGACACCTCTGGGCACAGACTTAGGGAGCCACACAGGGTCCCTTACCATTTCCTGGTCAATAATACTTTGCCCTCCTTGAATATATGCAAGGAAGGACCCACTCTTTCCTTCTGTATGTCTCCCATAGACTCAGAATCAGTTCAATGGCCAATGGAGAGAATAGAAGCCAACCTCAATTTGTGGTGGGCAAGGGGCAGGGCCCAAGAGTGATAAAAATACCCCAGCCTTTCTTCCTCACTGTCAAGGTATAAGCTCTGTGAAATCCCACCTGGCCTGCTCTCTATCCCCCCAGCATCACATACCCCAAGCCCCTAAGGTCTCTCAGTGGCAACACCAAGGCAGGTCACTTGTCAGCTGGCAGGGGTTGGCTGATCATAGAAGGGTGGGAAGGCACTTCCCTTGCCCTGGAGTCCTGCACTGAGCTCCTGGCAGGGGCATCTGACCTCACTCCCAGGCCATTCTGTGGCCAGTTGGTCTCTGGAACTGCACACATGACTTCCCTGAGCATTAGGGGACCCTGAGCCTCCACAATGCTGCCAGGGAACCAAGGGCCTCCAATCCTATCTGTCGTCCCTCCCCCTAACTTCAACATTTAACCCAATTGTTGCTGGGGGATCCCAGAGTTTCCTGGGGACCCAAACATCCATTGTTCCTGCCACCTACACCATCCAGCCCAGAGGACTTCACAATCTTACCATACCCCAATGTTGACTTGGAGTCCCAGGCCAGTGTTGTTCCCCAACCGAGTTCCCAGCAGACCCTTCTTTCAATTGCTCACAACAGAGATGAATCTCTGATGTAACATTCAATGAATTTTATTGAAGAGAAATGTTTACTCAAACCATTGAGGAAAGGGAATGAAGACATAGAGAGGAGCTTCTAACAGGCTACTAGAAGCTCATAAGGCAGACCCCCGTCCTGGAGTTTCTGACCAGGTGCCTCAGCTGTTTCCCATGTCCTGGCCCCCCCACCATAGTCCCCCTCCCTGAGGGCCACTTAATTGGACTTTGGAGGACTATGGACACTGGCGAGGTCCACTTACTACAGGGCTCCCCTCCATCTCAGGATAACATGCTAGAGCCTGGCCCTGCCGAGTGGCCTGCACAGGACAGACATAGGACACTGGAAAACACAGCAGGGGACACTCCACCAAGCTGAGGAAACTTAGTCACAAGGGAACAACAGGGTGGCACATCAGAGCAGTCCCCATGGAGCCTCCAGCAGCTGCCTTCTGTCCTTCTTCCTTCCTGAGGTCACTGGGTGAGTGCTAGCAGTGCCCTTGCCCATTCTTCTCGTAGCTTGGGGTCTCTGTGGTGGGGAACTACTCAGAGAAGCACACACACATCTCTACAAGAACAAGCAGCGGTTGGCCTAAATCTATACTGAGAAAGCAGAGGTTGAGCTCACAACACTGGACAATAGCTGAGAGAGCCTTGGCTGGCAGTGGGGCTCACAGCACGTATTGGGGCTGAGAGGTGGCTGCCCCGGTAGGTAGGCGAGGACAGCCACCGGGTTCACACACACCTGGTAGTTTTGCACAG